ATATGACTTAATGGCACAGGCAGCACCGGGAAGCACCGCAATTGCACGAGCACTTCAAAACAACTCGCAGAGGTAAAGAAACAGGCGCAGAGGCGAGCGCGCCAGCCAGATGGCACCCCGGGCAAGGGGCTTGCCGACTATTTCAGAACAGACAAAAAGCAGATGTTTCACAAAAGCTCACTTTCCAGGTTTATTAAGTAAAGTTAACTGAATTGATTTCATTTTGTGGGGATTCCTTTCTGTCTAACCCAGCGGGTCGGCAGAGTTGCACAGAATCACGGTTGGACTGTGATAACCCAAATACAACTTTGGCTCATCTCACTGCTGACACATATGGAATGACTTGGGGGTTATTACATGCTGTGTCTGCTTGAGGCAGGTACATGTACAGATCAGCACAAGTTGCAAATGATAGTTTACATCCTTTCAAAACAGAGCAGGGCATTCAGCAAATGCACTGCAATGAGAAGACATATGAAAAAGAAATTATACAGACTTGCAAATACATAGTAAGTTCAAGAGATGCAAAAAACTTCAAACACAAGAAATGTCAAGGGAAGAAAAAAAAACACTTAATTTCAGACACAATGTGTTCAAATTAAAACCCAGCTGTAATTTAAATTCCCTTCAAAATGGGAAACATACAATAACGCAATTTAAGAGAAACCAGGTTTTGGCCTGGGAGAGACGTGTCCAAAAAACACTGTCGCACAAACAGGTTCAGAATTCTAAGCAAAATGTCCCTGGGCATTGGTGTACTTGACTCTTGGAGCCAGAGCAAAGCAATTCATTACACTTGCTGGACTGCTGGGCCTACTGCTGGGTCTCGGTGGTATAACAGCACGTAGGATTTCCAGATGTCAGAGAGAAGGCAGCACGCAAACTGCTGGTTACTGAGAGAAACGCTACAAGCCAGATCTCCCAGGGATCGACTAGAATAAGGACATCTAATTCTGGTAGCCTGGCCTCCACTGCACACCCTGTTAGTGTAATGTTCTGCAAGGTTCTTCAGTTCTCAGCTCACTCCTTTCTCAGCCTGAGTTGTTTCTGTCTTGTGCAGGAGCACAACTGGCCGTGCAAAATGATCCAAAAAACATAAGGGACAGGACCAAAGAAAACTGGCTGAACCTGGGGCTGGCTTTCAGCTCCTACTTCCAAATATCAGTTAAAGGTTGGAAATTTATCTACAAAAGAAATAATATAAATGAAATAAAAAATGGCGCCGTCCACAAAATTAAAAAAAAAAAAAGAAACTTACAACACAGCCTTGTAAAAACGGCTTTGCAACGAGAGCTCGGTCACAAAATGAAGGGTTCTAGCTCTTCATACATCAGAAGAGGAAACAAAGCTAAAAAGTACTAGTCCACATTCTCTTAATAAGTTAAACTTACTTTCCCTCCCCCATCTACAAAAGGGGTAGAAGCAAAGGGGAAAATAGGCTACCAAAAAGAAAAAAAAAAAGAAAAAAAGAAAGAAAGAAGAGAGAAGGAGAGAGCGCGCGCAAGAGAGAGAGAGCAGTCTGTGGTCAGAGGCTCAGAGCAGGGCTGAGTTCCTTTTAAGGGTTTAAAAGATGCAAAACAGTTCCTCAAAAGTTCCCTCTCTTCAACAGTTAGTTCAATGCTGTAGTCATAGAAACTCAAGTATACACTGGAGGAGAGATTCTTTCAGGCAGATCCACCGTCATTCGGCGAGAGCTGCTCAGTGTGTGTTAATCCTCGATGATTATGGGTTCATCATTCATGGGCTGGCGTAACTGCACTGCCTGCATTGGCCGGAGGATAATAGGCTTGTAAGGGCGTCTGGCGGCTCGCTTGGCTTCAGAAGAGGAAAGCAGCTTGCGGATTTTCCTGCAGAGAGGGGGGAAGAAAGAAATCGATTACAGAGACCGAACGCTTAGGCATTTTAAGATCTCTCCATTTCTCCAAGCAAAACCAGGCCTGCAGAGGCTGCTCACTAACAGGAGGGGCTGATGCTGTTTACTTCAGCAGTGTTTTCCCCGGGGAATTTTCGTTTGCTGATATATAAACCCACCAAGGAAGATGAAATTGCACCCCCTGCTGCAGAATCGTTCCTCTGCACAGCGGAAGGCACTCTCACCCAGCTTTGTAGGGTCAGGGCCCAACGCTGTAAATATAATAACATGCGAAAGAGTTACGACAAGCAGTTTCCACACCACTAGACATTTATTTTGAGGCGTGCAAAGGTGTGCGTCACGCTGCGGATAGCTCTGCGGGAATTTGCAAAGCCAAGTTACAAACAAATCTCTTCTGGCATCGTTGGCCACTTCGGTGCCTGTTAATCCGTCTCTCGCAGGGCTCGCTCCGACGTTCCTCGCTCCTGAGCGGGTGCGCACAGCTGCCTCTTCCAAACGGACGTCAGAGCACAAGCAGCAAAGCCAGCAACGCTTAGTCTCCCACAGAGTTACGCTGCAAGGCCAGACTCCCACAGGGGAGCCCTATGACAGCTATTAGGGAGCGAGCCATACTGGCGCTTCCCCCCATCACTGGGTGCGTCCCCCCTGCTCTTACTTTCACAGATTTGCAAGGACGTGATGGACGGTGTAGGCCCCAAAACACATGCCGCTGAAGTTGCTTAACAGACTTAAACTTCAGGGGAGAGGAAGGTACATAGGGCCCATGCACAGATAATGCAAGCACATAAATCTTTCTCCAGAGATCTCCTCTCAAACTTTGTACTTCCTCCCACGCTGTATGGGCCCAACCTAGAAATCGGAGATGAATTCAAGTCTCACATTTGTTAAGTATTTTCCTATAATGCTAGGAGGGGAGAAACAAGTCTTATCAGAGAGAGGAAACCCACTTCCAAGGGGAGAGAAAGGAAACAGGCTCTCCAGCTTGAATAAAGGGGGACATGCCGAAGGTTTAAAACAAAGTAGAAAGGGTCAACAGAGAATGATTACTCACTGCTATCTATCAACACCAGGTTTGGAGCTAAAAGTAGCACCTTAAAAAACATCCCACAGTTTATAATTAAAATGAGGAATTCATTTCTGCAGGATGTTGTGGCAGACAAAGGCATACAGAGATTAGAAAGGAAAATAGTATATACATACTCACAGAGGAATAGTTCACTAGAACCTACTAAATACAGTGATCTGAACGCTACCATCAGCTCAGGAACTTGGACAACAAGGAGGGTTTGGTGAGGAAGGACTGCACCTGCCTTTAGAGACTCCTACCTTACAGATTGTTTGACCTCCTGTGAGCGTGCGGATACTGGGCTAGAGGAAGGGCTGCCACATCAGTTTTATTTTCCACAAACACAACCATCTATTCCCCAAAGGTAACTTTCACATTTTATAAGCCAGGCTCCAGAAGAATAAGCAGCAAGGCGTAAAAACAGTTTTGGTCACTCCACGTTGTTGGGACCACTTTTCTCCCCAAAAGACAACACGTTCTTAGATGGAATTTGTCAGCTGCTTTCCCCCCCTAACATTTACCCTCCCCACCAGCATCACTGAGAAAACAACAGCAACTTCAGTTGAAGATTCTGAACCAGTTCTGGTCAGATTTGGTCATCTCTTCATGTGCTTTTTTGCCCACAGAAGAGAACAAACTCGCTACACAGAGGCTAAACGCACAAATAGACACACTTTTTGTTTGTTCAGCGTCCCCATTTCTCCAACTTCTGAAGTTGAAACGGGGCAGGGGGAGGGAAGGGAAATATCGTGAAATGACAATTTTTCCAAGACTCATTTAAATGAAGTTGAGCTACTTCCAGCCAGCGCACTCTGTACAGTATCTGTGTGCGCTATATGAAAGATAGCCGCCATCCGAAACACGTGTCTCGGTAGTTCTAGATTCTGATCAGCTCCCCCCTGCCTCCCTCTGCACGAATCATCAACACCGAGCTCCCCAAGTTTCTTACTGTGAAGCCTGAATTCAAAGTCTTATTTCTTTCAGTCCACCAACGTTTGAAATCGCTCCAAGTTTTCTAGTACCATTCTCAACAGTACTACCCAAAAGGGGGGTGGAGGGGGCGCAAAACCTTCGGGAAAACCTGCGTTCTGCAACTGAAAACACAGTCTGACCCTCAGCTAGAGGATGATATGCAGAGATCACTGTTAGATTGGTTGCCACAGAGCCAACACAAAGCTCAGATTGTTTCAGCGCTCACAAACAAGCCTTACATTCTTGACACTGGAATGCAGCAGATGGTTCAGGGAAAAGTTAGAGGTGAAATGCCCAACAGAAAACCCGTGCCGCTTACAAAGCTACATCACTCAGGCCTCCCTGCTTTTCAGCAGACTGCCAAACATCTCTTTTCAGCACTCATCAGTCAGCTACGCAGCAAGGCTGTCAGACAAAGGAGCCTGTTCTTTTTTTAAAATGGAGGAGATAAGGCCTTACAGAGCTGATGTCTATCAGTGTGCTATGATTTCTGCGTTTGAAACGCGCTGGCCGCTGTGATCTTTCCTGCCTTGGCCAGTGGGCTCTAAGAGCAGGCAAGTCTCTGCCCCTGCAGTAAGTTGTTCTCAAGGCCAATATCACAGTTAAAGAATATTCTTACTGTTCTGTAGAGATCAAAGAGCAAGACCTTGTAACAGGGCCAAGACATTTCTACCAGGAACCTGCAGCATTTCTTGAGGGCTGCACGATGAATACGTCAACAAGTGTTTTGTAGACTCAGGATTATGAAATAAGCCTTGAGCATCTAAGGACTGAGCTAAGAGACTGAACGCTCTGTGTTTGAAATGGTACGTGAATTCGTCAGAGCTGAACGTCTGCAACAGGATCGCAGTATCTCTCTCCCAGAACATGAGGGCAACAGAAATAAAATAAATTGTTTCTCTTGAAAATTAAGTATTTCTCTCACTCTGCTTCCATCTACAGAAAGAATCCCACTTCTTGCTTTCACAGCACCTCAGAGACAGAAGAGTAGAGAGAAAGTGAAGATACTTTGAAAAGATCAGGTGCAGAGGGCAGAGGGAAACAGCACAACATACATCATCTGTGCTGCCAAACAAACGAGGTTACGCTGGTAAGGCAAGGGACTTGACAGATCACGTTAGTAACAAAGTCTAACAATCTACTCATTCATCTGAGTTACACGCCCAGGCCTCATGCTAAGAGATTTCTTCAGCCCTCCTTTCCGAGCACGGATCTGGTAGGTATTGAGTCTTGTCATCCTGAAGAGCATTTCGTTAAGGCAAACCTGGCACCACTGGCCAAAAAGACTCAAATCTTATGGAGGTCACCTGCAACTTCCATCACCTTGTTTGGATCTCACCAGAACACATCCTGGCATTTATAACAGGTCCTTGAAGGAACAAATAGTTCATTCATAAGCACGGCAACCTCTCAGAGATGGAAGGTGCAAGATGCCCAGGGTTTACGAACTTTCTGTGGCATTGCTTGCCAACACATCTAGTCACTATCGTGTCCTTTAAGTCCTAGAATACGCTTTAATATCAAACAGGTGTCAGGCAGCTGTAACTAATGTGTACATGTTTACACTGAAGACCAATTCTTCCCTTCGCAGTAAATGCTTTTCCCTGTGGCTTTCCAGGATTACGTTGCTTCTTGACAGGCAGACAGACATGAAATACACAGCTGCATTAGGAGCACCCATAGGAACAGGTCTGACAGGGAAATGAATTGTATGTTTATTCTGAGTTCCAATAAGGGGCTCTCCTACACGCAGCTCCTCTATCAGCGATGCCTTATTTATCTGACTGTCCAATGGACCAGCAACTCAAAACATTACCGCTCTCAGCCTGTCTATGAGGGAGACCTTTGGCACAGGGCCTGCAAAATAGTCACCTGGCACTTGAAACGCTGCAGACACTAAGAAAGAGGCTGAAGATGCCAGGGCTGACCGACAGTCAGAGTTCAAATTTAGTAGTAATACAGGGACTGAGTAATCAAAACTCATGTCCTCCTTGGTTACTTGTCAGGACTCGGGTGTCCGATAATTCCTAAGTCTCTGTTTGCCAGGTACTGGAGCAAAGGACCAGCACTGTAGCTTTTTGCCTGTCAGGGCGCCGATACTGACAGCAGCAGATATCTCCAGCCAGACAAGGAAGCTAGAAGGCACCTCTGCTTGCAGAGACGGCCAAAGAGGCAGCCTGCGACTTGGCTCTGACCTTCCTCCAGGTTACCTAGGAGAGAGGCATCAAGTGCTTGGGAAGAAACAGCACAAGAAAACATCTCTACCTTTCTCATCATACCCCAAGATGAGTCCTCCTTTCCTGGGAATAATACAGTACTGGGAACACAGTCACAAAAGCTTTGCTTCTACTGCGCTGTCTGCAGCTTGCGCATGGAGTTTCAGTTTAAACTCATGCAAGAAAAGCTTCTTATTATTTTTATTCTGTGGGTAAAGGGACAAGAATGACTAGCATAAGCAGCAGTGCTGAAGGAAGAATATGGACGCTACAGGGCTTAATCTGGCCACTGCTGGTGAGGGGAAACACTAAAGAAATAGAAGGCAACTCAAACCTCTGTGCCACTTGCCGTATTTCATTACTTAGACTCACGGAGAGACAGTCTGAGAAGTATTGCAACAGACTTCAGCATGCAAGAGGACATCCAGAGTGCACACAGCCTCAAAACCTTATTGTAGCCTAAAGAATCTGATCTTGTATGCACGAGGGAGGAGCACTACAACAGTGGAACACATATTGCTGTCTCCAGGCATAAGTCAGCAGCTTCCAATATACTAACAACAAAGTTTTGGATGCAAATTAATCCAGGCTTTAATGGCAAGCAGAATCCCATGTTCCGGAAGCTCTGTGACTCAGTGTTGTCCATGAGCCAGATGGCCTCTATTGTATTACTGACATGGGACCTTCAAAGACATTTATGGGTCTAAAGCAAGGTGAACTCCCCATTTCAGTCTTCCGCCCCTCGTTGCCCATCTCCTACAGGAATGGCTCAGGAAGAAAAAGAATCTGCTTGCTCTGGAACACAGGTATACGATTAGGCACATCAGACAGAATTAGGTACATCACAGCCTCTGTTCAACCAAACTCCTGAAGTGGATTCTGTGTTCAATATGTAGCAACAGGTCTGCTAAAGAGATCGCCAACTAACCACAAGATCAGCTGCAGCACCCACAAGAACAGAAACCAGAACACCTCCCTTAAAGGCTATGAAAAGACCAAGTCTCCTACCTGGTTTCTTCCGTGGCCATGTAAAAAACATCGTCTGGAGCATCAATCCAGTTCATCCTCCTCCTTTTCACTGGAGGCATGGATCCACCACGAATTAATCGGACTTTTGTTGGGTATGATTTCCCATTGAGCAGCAAGTTTCGGCTTGGTCCCTAACATGATACATAAAAAAGTACAGTTATGGACTGTAACAAACCTGTAGTAGCACGTGATAAGCACTCAAACAAACGAGAGGAGGATTAAAGTTTTCATAGCAAATGTTGAGAGCTTCTGGTAAACGTGTCTCCTCTTGACCACGACCGAATGCAGAATTTGCAAAAAAAAGCAATGGGCCACAAGCACTAGAACTTGGGCACCTTCAGTATACAATAGGACTGCAATACTCCAACAACAGGATGAATAATAAATGGAAGGTATCACCAGTAATCTGTTGCTTGTGTCTAAAAGATGACATAAGGCTTAAAAGATTGAGCATAAGACTTTGATTTCAGCTACTACCATAAATCTAGAGTAACTCCACTGATTTCACAGAAAAAAATCTAGCTACACAACAAATGAGATTTTAAATTCTGAGTTTTATATTGTTCTGGGATGCCAAACTTACCTATATCCTTTTTGTTCTAGAGAGGTTAATATTAATGAGGATAGCATATAATTAAATACGTTTCTGAAAAAAAAAAACCCTAGAACTAGAAGCTTAACAGCTTTCATCATAAAATTCTTGTAGCATTTAACAATAGAGATCTCCCATATGTAATACACTTGCTTTGCAAATCAACATGGCTATTGTTTCCCAGACCCACAATACCCCCTTCCACTCAACTGAAAAAGTACAGGTTCTTATTAAGAAAGGTGCAGATGCAAGGGAGCAAAGCTTCTCAAATGCAGCTGTCCTTGATCATGTGGAGTCCAGTTCTGCTGCCCCTCTTCCTGCTTTTTAATCTCACAGAAATCAGTAACAGTCAGGAAAGGTGCAAAATGAGGGCCTAGAAAAATCTCATACACATAAATTAAAGCTGGTCAAAAAATGCCCCAATAGAAATTTAATTCTGGTACTTCAGAGTCCATCCTCCTAGATCAGTCCATCCTCCCAGATCAGACCATCTTCCCTGATGCACCAAGGCTTCCTGTTCTGTCCCCCCAAACGGGAACAGAGCACTAGGCAAGAGGGATGTCTAGGCTGGGACACCAACCTCCAGATGGAAGGTGGGACATGAGGTACTCAGGCCTTAAATGCCAGGGTACAGCAAAATGACTGATGACTTGTTTTTGACCAGCCTTAATAAACTAAAAGAAGCACATCTGTCTAGCATAGAAAATAAGACCTTTAGACCTAAGCAAACAAAATCCCACCTTCTAAAATCCTAAGCTCTTCAAAGCAGTTATACAAGTGCAATAGACATTTTAATTTCTTGGTTGTCCAGCTGTGTTATACAAGACAATTTCAGCACCACAGCAAACCACTGAAATTCTTCAAGAATAGCTTTCACATTTGAGGTTTATCAGGAACAAGGCTTAGAACAAAAGGTTTGCTTGTGTCCTCCCCCCCCGCCCAAGTTTCCTCCAAGATAATCCTTTTCATTAGTGTCGAGAAGGGTATTTTCTCCCCACTTTCTACATATACAGGAGAGCAACTCCAGAGAAAGTTTTTTGGAAATTTATAAAGGTACCCCATGTGCTTGGAGTTTGCCTTTTCTCTACCTGCACAGAGCAATATGTTTCCAAAGACACGTCCTGAAATGTGGACCGTTAATTTTCAGTTCGGTAGAACACTCCATCACGCAACCAGAAGTCAAGACAGTTCAGGGCTTTCAGCCTTGTAGCTGAAAACGTTAGGTCATCACAGATTTCTCCCACTGCACTGAGTTGGTTTATACAACAGACACAAACAAGTAGCCAGTCTCCTCAGTGACAAGAAGTAAAACCGATTTCAATGAGGAATACAATTTACCACTTCACATCAGTTGCTCAAGTAACAAACGGAGCGAATGCTTCATCACTACAAGCAGACTAGCATGCTCAAGTCATATCCTACCCACGTGATATTACGCACTATCCAAGAGCGTTCTTAGATTTAGTAATACTTGTGATCGTTACTCAGTAAGCACCATTCATACCTGCTGCAGATTTACCCATGTCAGAGCGACTCTACTGACTCTAGAACATGGTGGCAGTTCACCTACTGAGGCGAGCTCCACTCTGTCAACTCCAGGAGAGGAGATAGATGCTTTGTGGCAAAAATTTAAGCTTGAAGCTCTCTCCTGTGAGTGAAGAGACATAACATCAAGGTGCCACAGAAGTCACCGGTAAGGGGGGGAGCGATGCACAGCCTTTGTGCTGGCCCCTTGACTCACAAGAGAATTTCACGAGAAAGCATTTTGCCAGAGAAATATCAATCAGACTGGCTATTTGCTTCTGTCCTTTGATAAAACTCTCAGCATAATGGATGAAAGGCTAGGAATCATTTTTACTCAGAAAAAACAAGCATTCTCAGCAGACAACTTGCACACTAACTTCCTAAAAATAAAAAATAAAAAAATAAAGGAACTGTTTTCCAAACAATCCCTTCCATCGTTTAAGCCTTCCTCCTTCAGTGAAGCACGTTCCACCTAGAAACACATCCCAGGACTTTGCTATAAACAGCCACTCATTTTCTGTATGAGCAGAAACAAAATGTTCCATGCAAAACAGAACTTCATTTACATATATTGACTTGGGATTTACATTTTATTTAAGCACTTGGACTTTCCATATGCCCAAGGTTTGTTTTGTTTGTTTTTTTTTAGAAGATTTTCCAGTGAGATTCAGAAATTATGACCAGCTGTAAACAGCAAAGACAGAAGTGAAATACTATGGTTTAATGGGGTATTCTATCTAGAGGATTAATAATTCTTCTTTTGCTTTTCCTTGTTTTGGTTAAACGAACATTCTCTTACCATTTGTCTGGTTTGTCCGTGGTTAGGCAGACCTAACAAACAGGAAAGAGAATAGAGCTGGTAAGACCATTGCTTTTCCAAGACAGAAGTACAAAATCAAAACACACGCAGCTATGTTCACGACTGGGTCGTTTTGCTGAAACGAGAGTTTTCTACCAAACTAACTTCTCCCCTCCTTGAAAGGTAACTGAGAAAAGAGCTTCCTTAACAACATATTTTGAAGAGCAAGACCCGCAAAAAAAAAGAAGAAAGAAAAAGAAAAAAGAAGGAGTTCCATTTGCTCATTCTTTTCTCCATTCATTCATATCTTTCTTCAAACTACCGCTAAAAGTACACTTCCTCTTTCATAGCTAAGATTTTCCTCAATTCTTTAGAGAAAGAACAAAAAAACCCCCAGATATTTTGTTTATTTTTGAGGGATTTACTGAAATCAAGGAGAAGGCGAAAGAAGAAGGCATCACACTGTCAAGACAGCAACGTGCATAAATCTTTCCTATCACTCTTGGTTCCCCAGGGAGCTCTTGAGCTCAGATGTTGCCTACGAACTGTTAGCAAACAGATTATATCTGCTAAACTGCTCTGAACCTATTGCAAGTAAATATTGCCATTAGCTTAGCTCTGCCAGTCACAGAGCCAAAGTCATACCCCAGCAACACAAGCAGCACCATAAAGCATCAAGCGCAAAGGCTCGGTTTTCCTAGATTGCCATTTGCTGTTCTACCGGACATGCTATCACACTGCCAAAAGTCCATGTTTTAGGTGTGGTCTACTGCGTGCGCTGAATCGCACCTTACATATGTGAGACCTTACAGGACACAAAAAAGTCTTGGGATATAAGAGAATGAAGCGTTGCTATAGCGCCGAAAGGTATGGCACAGAACGGACTAGAAGTCTTACTGAACCTTTCTGTCACCACTTTTTAAGTTTTCCAAGATGTAAACTCCCAGAAAACACTATTTCGTCAACATCAAGGCACCAAAGCATCTTTCAGTCCTTTCTGGCCCAGAACCAAGGAGTTCAGTACAATAAAGCAGACAGGTACCATCGGCATCAGGAAATGCTGTCACTGACTGCAGAAATAGTTATGACTATTAATTCTGCTTTCGCATTTACAGCAAGTTTCCCAAACACTACCCATTTGGTTTGGCATTTGACGTCTCCCATTGTTTAGCCAGTTAAGCTGTGATGAGACAACAAAGCTTTTTAAGAACCCAGCAAAAACTGACTTTTACATTTGTGGCTGTACTCCAACAGATTCCTTGAAATTCTCCTTGGTAAAACTGAACACAATGTACTTGGCAAGCACATCAGGAAACACACGGCACAGCAATGCATTGGGAAGGGTAAAGAGGGGAATGGGGGACTTTTTCTGAGCATTGAGTATCATGACACCACATCAGAATCAACAGTTGATATGAACTTTATTTTCCATTTGGTAGAGCGTATGTTGTTAGCTACTTCAAATAGACATCGCTTCACTTTTTGCAGCATCCTCAGAGATGAAGAAAGAGTTGCCAAAAAGATTTATATCAAATCTGTAGAACAGATGTACCAGGCACCAAGTAAGACCAGTATCAACCACTGGTCACTGACAAAGGCAAGGTAAGCTTCAGATAATTATTCCTTTCTACGTAGGGGCAGCAATTTACATTCAAAACACAGCTGCGAACAGCTGTTTGAGACGGATGGACAGAGCGCTCCACAATGCTCAAAAACAGCACAGCCAGCAGGATGCAACTTTCATCTGTTGATTTCAGTCCAAAGAGCTAAGCTCTAGCACTTTTCTTCCCCCCTGCCCCGTAACAGAAAGATAACATTTTCCTCATTCACAGGAGCTCCGAGAGATGCAAATCAACTGATGCTAGTCCCTGGAGAGAAGGCCAGATATTTTATTTTAACTACACTCAGGATTAGCTCTTTTCTTATACTAAGAACATGCTTGATGCCAGAAAGTCTAGCCTACAGGAACAGCTGATATGTGGCTGCTGCTGCCGAGAAGATTACTGCTCACGTACAGCAGACAGTGCTATTCCTATGCACCAAGATTAACCCCAAATCTTCCACAGTGACACAGAACTGAAGGAAGGTTGAGCAGAACTGCGCCCAACTGAGCCTTGAAGCTTCAGAGTCCTCCAACACCAAGAAAACAGCTGGCTAAAACGTGGACACACCTCACCAGTAAGTTATTACTTTCAGGATAAAGCAACCCACGTCAATTTTAGCTGCAATAAGACACAAAACAATGTTACAGTTTTCCAATACAATTTCTATCCTTGCTATCACACTTATAAGGTATCAATTAGCAAATTAATCCTTAAATATCTGAGAGTTTTCCCTTAGTCATGCTTTGATAACTGCAGTATGAAAGAGTAAATATAGAAATGGACACTTGAAAGCCTACTTTTAGTTTGCAATTTAAATCCTTGCATCGAATACAAGAGCTACTGAAGCACTGTTATAAATTATAACCCAGCAACAGCCACCTAGGAGAAGCAGAGAGACAACACAACATCTGCAACCCATTTTCAGATTTGCTGTCAAGTCAACGGGATGCATCTGTACTGGAAGCAATGCGTTCTTGCCCAAGAGCTTGTGGTGGCTCCTGTGCAAGAGAGGTCTGCGAGACAGGCACCTCTAAGAACTAAACTGATCCTGAGCTTCGGGGTAAGGAACAGACAACCCACCATGTGAAACTTGGTCCCTCCTGATGTTCTTGTTCCATTTTCACCGTTCAAAGCTTGACAGAGATTTCTCACACACATCCGCAAGCAGGTTAAAAAAGTAAGAGAGCATATGAGTACAAACCAGCAGTAAAATCCATCAGGCTCTGGCAGCTCCTCTATAGCTCCAGTATTGGACTAGGAGAAGACTTTTTAAAATATTATTTTATTGAAAGATGCCTAAGAAGCCACAAGGAAGTAAGTGCAGATATTCTTTTCAATGATGTCTAAAATCCAACTGCTTGAAATTAGACCTCTATGTCAGAAGTGACACTAACTTCCTTCAAATAAAAAAAAAAAGAAGGGGGGGGGGGGGAGAAGATGGGGAGATGTTTTAAAGATTGACCAAAACCTTAAAATCAAAGAGTAAGTGTCCCCAAAGATGAATCTAACCAGGTTTTCTAGTCTTTTGCAGCCAAGAAATTGAAATATTTTCTGAAAACTGAAGGTGTGTGGTTTTTTTTTGTTTTTTGTTTTTTTTTTTTTTTAAAACTGTACTACAGAAAAACCAAGGCCCTAGAAAATCTGCTACCTTTCAGTTCCTCCTGCCAAAGTCTCCTCTACGCATTTAAACAAAGAGGAAGTTCCAGATGATAAAATGAAGACAAGGTAAATTAAATATACATCTGAAGAAAAGCCTAGATCTCCTTCAGCATAGACAATTCCCCATTACCGAAATGGCAATAAAACAGTTAATCACATTGCAGATATGACGTGAGACCCTCCAAGCATGCCTCGACTCTTGACGAAGGCCTCAGAACCTGTTTAAGTAAGCACAACTACAGATCTTGGCTTAAAAAATAAAATAAAAATAAAAAAAAAACCAAAACCACCCCAAGACACCACACACAGTAACAGTGGGTTACTCTGGCTTAATGTCCCCACCTTTCTTGAATCTCAAAGCTGCAGAGGAATATACGTTCATCAAATAAATAAGGGGGGGGAGGGGAGGGACATCACAAACAGCAAATGCAAGTCTGTTACTACTGTTACTTTGCAGCTTTGTTTAATATTTGTGGGATGGGACGGGGCAGAGGGGGCAGCTCTCAACCACCCAGTCCATCTCTTTGCAGGTAATAATCTCCTATCATTTGGATCTAGCACTCTCAGATTTATTTAAAACGTGACAGAAGACTCAAATCTGAATTTTGGGCAGTAACTAGAATAATGCACCAAGACCGCAGTGGGGGAGCAGGGAACTGCTGGCACCCAGCAACACTATTTGGAATAGGGGATCTCGCTTCCAGATCAGCCAACAAGCCAACACAACCGATCCTGTTAGGAGTCCAAGACACAGATGTGCGTGCTTTTTACCGATTCAAACCTACTTGCAGCAAGTCCAGCAAGACGAGGTGCCAGCTCAGAGGTACCATTCAAAAACTACTCCCACAGCTCAAACGCAGCCTCCTTTTTCTCTAGCTCGGCACAATACACAGCTGCCGTTGCCAGAAGCAGGAGAGCCCAAACTCTCAGCAGTAACCCATCCAAACAGACTGGAGCACAGGGAGGTCTGCAGGAAGTTAACTACAGCAAGAAGCTGCAGAAGAAGCCCCAAGCATTGCCACTTTCCTACTAGGGTATGAATATGCCAACGCCCTTCCGTGCCTCAACATCCACACCATTGCCTGTATATTTACAGGCCATTTCATTGTTTGGCACAAGTCTGTGCAGAGCTGATCCTAGCACCAAGGAGTAGCAGCTCAGCTTCTAGCCTCTGAACACACCTTGGAGTTGCTTAATTTATAGCTCCTAAAACTTACTAGCCCCCATCTTTGACATATCCACTATGCACAAAAATATGGCTCCTTCATCTCGTATGAACCTAATTCATCTTTTTTAATCAATCAGGGCAACAAGCAATTAGTCACAGAGGCTGTTTTGGTTTTATTTTTCTTTGCTAAAGAGAAGTACCACGCAGAACATGCAATACGTAACAAAATTCATAAGCACGTCTTCAGTCGCAATGAACACGGCAAATACAAACACTCTCACAACTGGCAGCTTTTAAATAATAATCTACACTAAAATACATGGCTGTGATTTCAAAAGCCACGCTCTTTATATACATTTTCCTTTTTCAAAAAGGAAATTCTCCTCCTGAGATTCCTTCCTTCCCAGCAGTAACAAAAATATCAACAGTATCGCATTTGGAGTGAGCTATTAAAAAAAAAAAATGCATGCATGAACGAAACTTGATGAACAAGGATTTCACCTCAAGTAGTCTGTGTGTGTTGACATATACACACACACTTCTTGCAAGCTTATAAGTAGTCTTTAGTACCTCTCTCTTTCTTAAACTGCCAAGAGTGTGTTACAGCTGTAAGCAGATTGAGTGTCCACCTTCTAATAATCAAAGAATAGCGTATAAATTTTCTGGAATGCAAGTGCAACAAGCAGAATAATTTAACTGCATAACAGCTTAAGAGACTGGACTAACACTTTCTTAAAATTCTGTTGTATATAAAAACAATGTTAAAATTACAATGTACTTACCTAAATAAGTTCCTACCAAGATTGGCAAAGGAAAAGGAAAAAAAAAGTTTAAGGTTAAAAAAAAGAAAAAGAAAAAAGAAAAAGGAAAGGTTAACATAGTTCAGAATACAGTAGCCCAGCCCCATGCAACATATACAGAAACACAGACTGTTTTGGTTGTAATGAAACACAGGAGTGATCACATTTCTCTGTTGGATGAATAAACCTGAGACAACATTAAACAAACAGTAACTCCAAATCTGAGATTCCACAAAGAAGAGTTTTGGATTTGTATGAGTAAGCAGTGGTTCTTTGCCCACCTCCTTCCACATTAACCTTGTTGGATTTGGATCGTAGCTCCTGAAATGCTCATTCTACCAGATGACATTAGTTTGCTCCACAGGATCTCACAGATGAGGTCGTCTTCATGTAAAGCAGAACCATGTGCTAGGAGCACTTCAGATGACCCTACGACTACTTTCTGGGCAGTAACTTCCAACTGCAATGAGTCAAAAAGGCAGTAGCTGCCCTGTGGTGCCCAGATTGAAGAGCTACCATCTATCTCAGTGTTGAGCGAATCACTACTGTTCACCTTTCTCTGGCTGTGACACATTGGGGAGGCAATAAAACCACGCACCTCACTTCTCCAGCCTTTGTTGTTCCAAACTGTGGTAGCTAGACACAACCAAATTTTTTGCTGATCTTAGAATTGGGAGTATTCCACTTACATACATGTATCACACGTTCAGAGGCCATTTATGAGTTTGGGGTTCGTATCTTCAAGGTCATTTGCAGTTCTGCCCCTACATACTTAACCCCCCTTTTCCTCTCCACTGCCCTAGGATACGCACTCTACTCTCTCCCAGTCAACATACGCATCTTAGGCTGTGCCATCCCTCATAAATCAAATACTTTTCTGATCTGTTCATCTGTAGATTGTGAAGCCCATCATCTCTTCCCAATTTTGTTTCTAGATCTTTCTCCATAATACCAAAAAGAACTAACCACAATATGATGGCTAAGCTGAAGATGAGTGAAAATATTTTCACTGAACAACTGAATACAAAATGCTACAAAAAATTATCAGAAATAATCTGTACTTTTGGCATGTAACCTAAAGCAAAGAAGCTGCGGTACCGCAGTACTCATTAAAAGCATATCTAGGAAGTAATCCCTGCACGTACCCAGGCTGCAACTGTGGCTTGGCCTGATGCTTTCTTACTCCTTACATGATGACATGACCAAGTTGCAGTCTAGTCCTCAGCTAGAGATCTAAGCCCCAAAGTAATTTCACTTTGGGCATAGCAGCCTTTCAGAAATCAGGTCTAAGAGAGGAGATTTCCCAGTCCTGTAGAGCTATCACTTGCATGAATTCAATAATTAGACGCTTTTAAAGAAAAAGAGTAGCAAATGAAGCTTGGCAAGAATATTTAAATCAATGGAATTCAACTAAAAAAAAAGTTTCAGACAGAAGAAGCTTACAAAAATTGCGAAATGTTTAAAAACTATCAAACAAAAACGGTTTGCATGGATAATTTAAGTCCATGATAATTTATGTCACGCTGATCTTCTGAAACAGCACTTTACAAAGATGGTCTAAACTGAAACAAGTGTTCTCAAAATAGAGTTAAAAAATACATAGTGAATCCGCATGCTTATTTTTCCCCCCTTGGTCTCTCTTTTTATCACAAGACCAAAAAGTTAACTCTTTATTCAGCGCCACTAGTTAACTAAGCACTCTCTTCAGTGGTTCACAACAGCTACTCCGTGTACAGATACGGCTGCATCTGTTTGCAGTCTCAGCAACACTGACTGCTGACATTTCATTCTATCCCATGCCAAAACAGAGGCTCTTTCTTCTAGTATCTAAGTAACAAGAACTGATAAGCAATCATGATGCTTGAGAAACTTGCCCAAAAAACAGGATTATGCTATGTTCTACTCAATGTATGCTTTATTTTTGACCAAAGGGAACCCGTGTTCCTCTGGGGTTCAGCATATTTCTTTGCTGTGTTCTTAACCAGTCCTGCAAGTAGATGTAGCACACGCTGATTTTCAGATCTGGGGTCAACTCACGAGCATGGGAAAGGCAATACTGCATGTTGATTTTTTCTTTTTTTTAATTTTTATTTTTAACCTGCCTCCCCATTTCAAGCTCTATTCTGCAAGGCTTAACAGTAGTCTTTTTAATCCATTCATAAAAAAAAAAAAAAAAATCGGATAAGCTTTCAAACTCCTCCGCCACCTGACAGAGCACTGCTTCTTCACCACTAACACTTCCACCTTGATACATACCCTTTCAAAACCTTCCTTAATGCTGCCTCTGTTTACCCTCTGTCCAATACAGTTATCTCAAGTACAGCAAAACTGCATAATCACTACACCAGCATGTTTGCTACTAGCATTCGAGTGCAACCTCTTTCCACTGGCCAGACCAGTCTCACCTTCAAAGAACGGGAAGCTCTCCTCCCACTTCCTGGAGGTTCACTTTTCAGTTATTTAAGCCATTAACTTTGAGCATACGCTCACCTTATTTTTCTACTTCTCTCCTCAGGTTTTTTGTATGCTTTTCAGGAAACTGTGTCCCTGCTGGCCACCTTTTATGCCCTCTTGATTTGCCAGCTGCTTTCACCACCTCAAGACTGTAAAACACGAGGATCACTAGCCACTGCCTCAGACACCAGTCCATTCAAAAATCTTTTTTTAACTAATTGTTCTCAATGTTATACCCTGCCACTGCTCAGGGACCAGATCTGCCCCTGCTGTTCCACAGGACTTGATCCTGCCCAGGAGACATACCCCTACAGGTTGTCTCACATGCACAGGAGTCCCAGGTCTGATACAAACACACAGAAGATACAGCCCTCTGCTCAACTACTGTGCATCTACTGATTTTGGTGAGCTAGCCAGATACGTGCCAGATCTAGAGGAAACAGGTCCAAGTCACCTCCTAACAGCATTCCCTTTTGGTTAAAATCATTCCCAGATGGACAAGCTTCCCTTGGATGGTTATCCTCAACTTTTGGATAACCATCCTTGGATGGTTATCCAGTGCCACAGCTGAGAAAGGAAGACTTGTAACGCTGTTAGTGCAACCAGGTAAGTGCTATCAAACAACAACAATCAAATTTTCTGTAAGGTCTAAGTAACCAGAAAAGACCTTTGAAATAAGTCTGGCTTCCCACATAACCGATGCTAAAGGACTTCCCCGTAGTCCCACCTCAACAGCTGTCTTTGAGAGCAGTGTTTCCACTTTCACCCTCATCTCTTGATAATTAATCTAATGCCACGCTAGGCTGATGAGGGTATAATGCCTCCAGGTCTAGGAGTTCATTCGTATTTCCCCAAGAGGAGGTGAGAAACAATGAACCAGAACACATTAAATTAGATCATCATTCCATTTTGTTTAAGACATTCCCAGCAGTGGGAGCAAGGTATTCCAACAGTTAATTAACCTCATTCAAAAATATGCAGCTTTTTTCTAGCCTAAGTTTTTCTACCGTACCTTCTGGCTACGACAGCTCATTATTCCACTCCTGGCTAAACTGAAAAGGCCTCTATTATCACACTGCTGCTGCTCCTGTGAGTAGTGACAAACATCTACAATTTCCTCTTTGATAAAAGCATTTTCCATTTTAAGGTGTTTCCCCCAGTCCCTTCACCGCTTTCACGGCTCTTCTATGAGCCCTCCCAAATTTTTCAACATATTACTTGGAGCATGATCCACCACCACTTATTTCAGCATTAAGTTTGCTGCTGGGAAAAGCCTTCCCTTTATTCCAGCTACTCATTCATGCTCTTTTTCTTTCTGCCAATTTTTATAGTGCATGTGATGACCCTGAAAAACAAATTCAATCAGATGAAAGCTAAAGTGGTGCAGGAGAGAACAAAGTCCAACAGTGCTCCCTCCCTCCACCCACCCGTAGGAATTTGCACAGAATGAGTATCACATAGACCTCATGTTGGATAACTGCGTGGACAAAAGTAACCAGGGTCCAGAACAGAAAACATCCTCTCCATTGAATACTGTCAGGCAGGCTCCAGAACATTGATGAAAATGGCGGGGGGGGGGAACCACACACCACAGCAATATATTTTTAGCAGCTCATTGCGTTCTACAGCTTCTGAGACTCCATGTCCTTTTAGTGTTTCAAAACCAGGATTCTGCAGGAATTTTTCCATGCTAGCCTAAAGCTGAAGAACAGCTGGAAAGGCCGCTGTATGCCTAATGATGTCTCCAATAAAATTTAAAGGAGAAGCAGTAAACAAAAATGTAGAAAAAAGAACTACAGTGGAGCAAGGGGAGAGAAGAGAGACAAGATGAAGTATATTTCCCTGTTCTTAGGATTCAAGTATAAGGCTAAACTCTAGGTGTCTGGCCAGACAAGTCACATTTAAAGCTTGACGAAATTCAGCTCTCCAAGGTTAGACAGATACCGATGATTCAGAAAAAGAAAAGTTAAAGATACTTAGCTTGAGTTAAAGCAGCAAGAGATAAAAGCAAACAAAATTCCAAAGGAAAAAATCTAAAGTACTCCTAAGTTCAGCAATGTCCACCCTTTCCATATTTAGTTTTGCTCGCTCTAGCTGCGGCAACAACAGTTGCTTTTCCTTTTCCTCCTTGATCTCTCACCACCGAGATTCCCCTTTTCCACCCTTTCCTTTGCTCCCATTACTACCCCTCTTCACAGAGAGTTCAAGCGAATCAACCATGCACACACTTAGTCTAGGTGGTCTCCTTTCTCCATCCCCGCCACTGTTAGGTACTATTTTGGCACAACTAATCATTTAGGAACTGTATTTCCATTTATCCAAGAACGTTCAAGGCATTTCACTAGTTAATTTTTCTGAGGGCTAAACTCTAACCACTGACCACCCATCCACCTAATTACCAAGGGGCGGTAAAGCCTCAGAGGAAAATCTTCCAACAGTGAGGCCTGAAGCAGCACGCAAAAGCCTACGTGAATGTTTTATTTTCAGCAATGTTGGACAGTCTAATTCTAAACAAAGGTAGGTGCTATGGAGTTTAAATGCCTTAGTAACCTCGCCACCAATATCTGTGCATAAACACGGATCTAAATGCTTTACACGAAGCAAAAATACTAGCTAATATCAGGCTTATTCCTTGCATAAGTCTCTGGCTTTCATATTGCTTTAAGGCTCTCCTTGTAGCCAGTTTTTTTGTTTTTTTTTTTTTTAATACAAACTCAGCATATACAATCTGCTCAGTAACCAGCCATAATTTCCAGCAGCTGAAATGCTTCCAAACCAGTGGGGGAAAGTAATAGCCCAGCAGCACCAAAGAGCTTTACCACCAGCTTTTAGCAGAGACACTTCAACTAAAGCTACCAGCTAGCTGCCACCATGACATTTCAGAGACTCTTACACAGTGAACTATCCAAACCACGTGTCTTACAGGTGCCACCAACAGAGCACGTCAGCAGGATTTTTTTAACCTTGAAAATATCATACAGTTTTGCAGTAAGTAAACGTATCGCTGAAAACTATTTCAACACAGGTGGACAAAGAGCCTTTCATTTGGAACTGAATTTGTGCAGAGAGAATTTCAGTCCTTCCACGCCGCTGCAGAGCTTTTCTAACATCAGCTTTTCTCGGCAGTACAATACAAAGGCCTAAACCAGCCAGTATACTGCTATAACGCATCAGTAAGTGGGAAAAAAACCTTTGCCAGTATTATCTATAGCAACTGCGTACATGTACTGTTTACAAAGAATCTGACTGGTTTGGGCAAACTGATATTTATAATACTTCAGTTTTACTCTCATTAATCTTTTTCCTGCATTTTAGGACTTGTACAATCCAAACAAACAATCACTTCTGGATAAACGCGTTCATTTCAATTCTTTCACTCTGCTCGCAAACTCATCGGCTCCTAAGTTCTGGTAGCCAAGCTTCATCGTTCTTGCTGCCGTTCACCCCTTCTCCGCGGTGGCTCTAACGCAGGCTCTTCCCTATCCCCTGACCTCCTCCTCTCCCCTCCCACCAGCAGCCCCCCCAAACTAAGAAGTCTACGTGACTCCATCCAGAGACAAGGAGGAGCCTCAGCACCGCATTCCCAGTTCTGGCACAGCACAGAAAGTTGACATTAGCTATCAATACGCAGAGCCAGCAAACTTTACCAGCTTGGACTCGAATAGCAGCCTCACATGCCAGCCTACGGGAACTCGTGCTCCAAGTTGCACTGACACAAACTGGCTCCAGGGCACGGATAGCTCTACCAAACATCTACCATCTGTTTCCTCGTGCCTAGCATATCTCGATCCAAATTCTTTCAACCTTGTTTCCTTGCAGGTGGTTCCCCTCCTGCTCCATCTTGGCAAAGCTTCCAGCAACCCAGAATCAGAAAATATTCCAGATGTAGAAATCGCAGCATCACGAATGCTTCCCACTCACAACTAAAACTCAACCACTAAGTACTCACGAGAACATCCAATTAACACTCAAAGCCCAAGAACGCGAACGAGCTCTGGGATTGAAACGTATTGAGCTACTTTGCAGTTATAGGACCAGATAAAACTCCGAGCATTTCCGCGGCTGGTTGAGAACAGACAGCAGATAAGCAGCAGGCACTCAGTGAGAGCCTACCCCTGCACAACTTCACGTTCCCTGCAGAAAACCACATATTCTGAGCAGCCTGAACAGGTACTTCACTAAAAACATCTTTTTGCAAACTGCTCCAGTAACTTATTACTGAAATCTATCTAATAAAATACGTATACCAGCAAGCAGATATTTTAAAACATGGCTATTAAAATACAAATCCTCCACCTCCAATAGCACGTTTTCAAATTACCAAATCCAGCACTTTACACAGAGAGCGCCTGGGGAAGGGCTCAGTTGTTCTTCTACTTCCCTCCGTCGGGCCACAACATTACACACTCCTGAAGCTCTAAAA